CGATATTGCGCCCGCGCACAGGCGACGCGCGCCACCGCCTGCGCCAGATCGCGGTTATTCGCCAAGGCGGCCGCGATATAGGCCTTGAGCTGTTCGTCCGCGAAAAACTCCCGCCATCCGATCTCGGCCGCCGTCCGCGTTCCCGCGCCCGCCTCGGGATAGGTGGCGGACACGGGGCGACCGGCTGGCGATATTGCGGCGCCAGATTGCAGGCGGTCAGTGCGCTGGTCAGCGCCAGCGTGGCGGCCGCACGGAAAAGCCCTTATGCATGGGCCGGGCCCTCCTCATGGCCATTTGGGTTGTGGGCGTCGCGCGCTTCACGCTCACGTGCCTCCTCCTCCCGGCATCCTCGGCTTCATGGTCGTGCTCACGCCAGCCACTTCTTCGCCGCGATGTAGAAGACCGGCGTGAAGAAGATGCCGAACGCCGTGGCAGCGATCATGCCGCCCATCACGCCCGTACCCACCGCACGACGGCTCGCCGCACCCGCGCCACTGGCGATGAACAGCGGCACCATGCCCGGGATGAAGGCCGGGCTGGTCATCAGGATCGGGCGCAGACGCTGCGCCGCCTCCACCGTCGCCTCGAAGGGCGTGCGGCCGCCTGCTGGTCCTCGATGGCAAATTCGACGATCAGGATCGCGTTCTTCGCCGCGAGACCAATGATGGTGATCAACCCGACGTTGAAATATACGTCCGCCGAAGCCGCGTAGAATGGTCAGCAGCACCGCGCCGAGCACACCGAACGGCACCACCAGCAACACCGCCAGCGGGATCGCCCAGCTTTCATAGAGCGCGGCCAGCAGCAGGAAGACGACGATCAGCGACAGGCCGAGCAGCAACCCGATCTGGCCACCGGCCTGCTTTTTCCTCGAAGGCGGTGCCGGTCCACTCGAAGCTCATGCCCGGGGCAGGACTTCGCGTGCGATCTGCTCCATCGCGTTGAGCGCGGTCCCGGTCGACTGGCCAGGCGCAGCCATGCCGGAGACGGTCAGCGACGGATAGCCGTTATACCGCTCCAACTGCTGCGGACCATTCTGCCAACGCACCTTCGTGAAGGCCGAGAAGGGCACCATATTGCCTGCTGATTGCGGACACGCAGCGCCAGCACGTCGTCGGGCGACATGCGCTGCGGCGCATCGGCCTGCAGATAGACGCGCAGCACATTGCCTTCGCGAACAGAAGTCATTGGCATAGGCCGAACCGAAAGCGATCGACAGTGTCTGGTTGACGTCGGCGATCTGGAGACCGAGTGCCCGTGCCCGGATGCGGTCTATATCCACATAGAGCTGCGGCGCCGGCCCCAGACCTTCCGGACGAACCCCCATTAGCGCCTTGTTCTGCGACGCCTTGGCGAGAATGGCACCTATTGCCTGCTGCAACGCCGCCTCACCCGGGCCCGAGCGATCCTCGATCTTCATCGAGAAGCCGGTCGCGTTGCCCGGCCTGGATCGGCGGCGGGTCGAGCGCGAAGATGGTCGCTTCCTGGATCGACTGGACAGAAGCCCATGGTCTTGCCGACCAGCGTCGTCGAGTTGTTCTCGGTCCCCTGCGATCCTCCCACGGCTTCAGGTTGACGAAAGGAGATGCCCGCCGCCTGCCCCTGCCGAAGAAATTGAAGCCAGCGACCGAGACGATGTCCGACACCTGCGGCTGGGCATGGAGGAACTTCTCCACCTTGGTGATCGCCTCGCCCGTCCGCTCCAGCGTGGCGCCGGGCGCCGCGTCATAGGACACGAAGATATAGCCCCTGATCCTCGGTCGGCAGGAAACCACCGGGCACGCGGGTGAACAACAGGCCCGTCATGACGACGACCACGGCGAACACCGCCAGCCAGCGCACCGGGCGCGACATCATCGTCTTGACGCCGCCGGTATACTTCTCGTGCCCCGGCCGAACTTGTCGTTGAACCAGTTGAAGAAGCGGCGCGGCAGGCCCCGCACGCCCGCTTTGGGCTCGGGACGATCCTCAAGATGCGCATCCTCCTGCTTCAGCAGCGTCGCGCACAGCGCCGGCGTCAGCGTCAGCGCGAGCAGCGCCGAGAAGAAGATCGAGACAGCCAGCGTCACCGAGAATTGGCGGTAAATGCCGCCCGTCGAGCTCCGGAAGAAGGCCATCGGAATGAACACCGCGACCAGCACCAGCGTGATGCCGATGATCGCGCCGGTGATCTGCCCCATCGCCTTTACGGTCGCGCGGCGGGGCTCAGCCCTCTTCGGACATGATGCGCTCGACATTCTCGACGACGACGATCGTCGTCGACCAGATGCCGATCGCCACCACCATGCCGAACAGCGACAGCGTGTTGATCGAGAAGCCGAAGGCCAACAGGCCGATACAGGCGCCCCCCAGTGCGATCGGCACGACGATCGCGGGATCAGCGTGGCGCGCCAGTTCTGAAGGAAGAGAAACATCACGAGGAAGACGAGGATCATCGCCTCGACGAGCGTGTGGATGACGCTGTCGACCGACGCCGTGATGAACGGCGTGGTGGTGAAGGGGACGCTCCACGTCACATCGGCGGGGGAAGCTGATGCAGCGCCTTCATCCGCGCCGATACCGCCTCCGCCGTCGCCAGCGCGTTGCCCGCTCGCCAACTGGACGGCGAGACCCACCGTCTCCTTGCCGTTCAGCGTCAGACAGAATCCATAATTGTCCCAGTTCCACCCGCGCGACATCGCGCGGATCGCCGATCCATCCGGATTGGCGCGATGATGATCTGGCGGAACTGCTCCGTGGCGGCAAGCGGTTCTGGGTGATGATCTGCGCGTGAACTCACCGTACGGTTCAGCGGCTGCGCGCCGATCGAGCCGCCCGCCGTCTGACTATTCTGCTCCTGAACCGCCGCCAGCGCTTCCGAGGCGGACAGATTGTAGCCGGCAAGCTTCTGCGGACAGCCAGATGCGGCATCGCATAGGGCGAACCGAAGAGCTGAACGTCGCCGACGCCATCGATACGACGAAGCTCATTGCGGATATTGTTCTCGGCGAAGTTACCATCTCGACGGGGCTGGTCTTGCTGGTTTTTCGAGCTGAGCGTGATGACTTCGAGGGAAGCCCGCCGAGCCCTCGGGTCACCTGAATGCCGAGCGCACGGACTCCTGCGGCAGGCGCGGTTCCGGCACGGCAGAAGGCGGATCCCGGACACGGGTCCGTGCGACGTCCAGATTGGTGCCAGGCTTAAAGGTGACGGTGGATCTGCGCCGTGCCGTTCGAGCGGCTGGTCGACGCCATGTAGAGGAAATTGCCGACGCCGTTCAGTTCCTTCTCGATGACCGCGGTCACCAACGGTCCATCCTTCGGCATCGGCGCCGTTATAGCTGATCGCCAGATTGAGCGAGGGCGGCGCGACCGAGATAGCTTTCGATCGGCAGCAGGCGGAGCGCGATCACGCCGAATAGAGTGATGAAGAGCGCGCAATCACCGTGCGAAGACCGGGTGATAGACGAAAAAGGGTTCATGTGATGCGTTCCCGGCGATCAGCGACCAGCGGCAGGCTGGCCGCCCGCTTGGCCCTGTGCCCATTGGCCCATTGGCGGGTCCGGCCGGCCGCCGGCCTGATCGGCGCCTTGGACGCGGACTCTTCTGGCCCGGCTGACCCACCTTCTGCCAGCCTCGGTCACCACCTTTCCGCCGGGCTTAGGCCGAGAGGACCACCCAGTTGCTGCCCACTGGCCGCCTGGGGTAATGGCCGTGCCTCGATCGTGCCTGATCCGTCGACCACCATCACCGAGGCGGCCCGGTTTAGCTTTGCACCGCACGCTGCGGCACCGAAACCCGTCGCGGATCGTCCCGCCGTCACATGCGCACGCACGAACTGGCCGGGCAGCAACATGCGGTTCGGGTTCAGGGAGCGAGCCCGCACTGCTGGCTGCTGGTCGTGGGATCGACGGTCTGGCCGGCAAAGTCGATCTGCCCCTGCCGGCCCATATTCGGTCCTGTCCTCCAGCGTCAGGCGAACCGTGATCTGCGACAAATTGGGCAGCGCCAACCCGCCGGAACGGGCACGGCTGATCAGTTCGCTCAGCGCCGCGTTGGACTGAGTGAAGACCCATAGATGGGCGACATCTGGTCGACCCGGGTCAGCGGAGTCGCACGGGTCGCGCTGACCAGCGCGCCTTCGGTCACCTGCGCACGGCCGACCCGGCCGGCGATCGGCGCCCGGACGATGGTGTAGCTGAGCTGCAACTGCGCACGCGACAAGGCGGCGCGCGCATCGGCAACGCTCGCATCCGCCTGACGCAGCGTGGCCTGCGCCGCATCGAACTCCTGCGCGCTGACCCGCGCGTTCGACACCAGCGGCTGATAACGGCGGACGATCGCGCCGCATTGACCCGCGCCGCCTCGGCCTGGGCCAGCGCCGCCTGTGCCTGCTGCACCTGCGCGCGGTAATCCCCTGGTCGATGCGGAACAGCGGTCCCTCGGCCACGTCGGTGCCTTCGCGATACAAGCGCGCCTCGACGATACCATCGGTCGCGCCCGCACCTCGGCCGTGCGCATCGCCTCATCTGGCCGGGCAGCTCGATGATTCGGCACCGCGGTGGATTGGACGGTGATTGCCGTCACCAGCGGTGGCGGGGCGCAGCCTGTTGCTGCTGATCGCCTTGACCGCACGCCGCCAATGCAAGCGCCATCGTAAGCGACGACCTGGAACGAAAAATTTGCCACGCCGAGAAACTCCCTGAACCACATGACGTTTAAGTCATCAGCATTTCGTCTGGCTCGCACCTGCAAAAAAAGCAACGACTAAGTCCACCAATTTTGACGTCCTGCCTACACGCCGCAAAGGGCCTCCATGGCGACCACCACCATCAAGAGAAGCGCAGGGCGCCCCACGCGGAGCAGGCGCAGCATATCGACGACGACATCATCCTGGGCGCGCGAAGCCTTTTTGCGACGCGGCATCGAAGGCACTTCGATGGAAGAACATATTCGTTGGGGTTAGCAAGCATACCATCTATCGGCGCTATACCGGCAAGATGGCCCTGCTGGACGCGGTCGTCACGCGCGACCTGGACCGGCTGCGTCAGGCGATTGATGAGATGGCACAGGCCACAGCCCGTTGGATCGCCTGCGCTTCGCCGCACGGCGTTTTTTTTCTTTTTTTGCGTAGAGCCGGACTCCGTTCGTTTCCATGGCATTCCATGACATCCGGAGTCTGTATTTTCCGAAGAATTGCGCGAACGATCTGCAACGTGGGACCGGGTGTTGTGCGATCCGATCGTCGCCTGTGTTCGCGAAGCTCAGGAGGCCGGGGAATTGCGGGGCGACGAACCGGCGCAGAGCCTGTTCAACCTGTTGGCCGATATGCTCGACGGTCCCAGCCGGCGGTTGCAGTTCGACTTGCCCGACCCCTTTGGCGGCCCTCGGATGCCGACAGTTTCTTCCGAGCATCGCTGGTCCGTCTTCTTGAAGGTCGCCACCGCACGATGAGGCGGAACGGGACGCAAGAGCAGACGTTGGCGGCGATGTCCGACGACCACCTGATCTTCTGCTGCCCCTGATGTCGATCTGTCCTGAGTCGCCGCTTCGCCGGGGCATTGCCCAACCCACCTTCGTTTTGGGGGCTTTCATCGGCATGACGCAATTGCCGAACGGCAATCTGCTATTGATAGTCCGCATTGCCGAGGCCCCCGTCCGAGCCGATCGACGGCGGTTGCGTCCATGCGATCCGTTGGGATCGCGGAAGCTATACACTGGACCGCTATCCCGTCGATCAGGTCGACTATGACCGATCCCCGGCAATTCGCGATCCGGGCGCGCAGCGCACCGCATTCTGGCCCTGACCTCCCTGTCATGGTTGCTGCCGGTCGAACTGTCGCCCGACGGTGGCGCCATTGTCGCGGTCCATTATGATAAGGCGATCGAGCCGGCCGCCACTGGCAGGATTATGGCGTCGAGGATGCCCGGATCAGCCGGATCGGCGACCGCTGGTATGCGACCACCTGCTCGGTCTCGGCCGAGCGCCACTCGACCACATTGCATATATCCGACAACGGCCCTCGATTATCGTGGCGGGATCATTCTCGACCATCAGAACAAGGATATGCTGTTCTTCGAAGGGCTGGTCGGCGGGCGCTTCATGGCGCTGACCCGCCCCCTGGTGAAGTCTATTTTCGCCTATCCGGGACGACAGCCCCTTTATCGGCGTGGGCCATCGATCAATTTTGCCGCCTCACCCGACGGGCTGCATTGGGGCCCCTCGAAGCGCCGGGCATCCGCGCCCGCAAGGCTTCGAAGTCGGCGATGAAGGTCGGTGGCGGGTACACTTCGATTTTGACCGATCAGGGCTGGCTGACCCCTGTATCACGGCGTCGAGCGTCGCGAGTCCGTCGGCATTTATCGTAGCTTCTGGGCGCTGTTCGATGCCGATGACCCGACCAAGATCATCCGGATCGAAGATTGCATCCCCTGCTGGAGGCCGATCCGTCGCTGACCGCGCCGATCGCCCATCAGATGTATCTGCCGACACCGGTGGTCTTCTCCACCGGCATCGTCGACCTTGCAGCGATCATTATCTGATCGCCAGTGGCCCGGCCGATCTGGCGTGCCGGATGACCCGCTTGCCCAGGATCGCGTCCGATGAGCGCCGTGCCCCGTGGCAATCGGCCAAGTGCTCTATCAGATCTATCCTCGGTCGTTTCGGGACAGCGATGGCGACGGCATCGGCGACCTTCCCGCGGATCGAAGCGGAGGCTCCGACTATCTGGTCGATCTGGGCGTGGATGCGATCTGGTTATCCCGATATTTCCGTCACCTGGCGGATTTCGGCGGGGTTATGACGTGGCGATTATTGCGGGATCGATCCACGCTTCGGAACGCTGGCCATTTCGGCTCGCTTCGGCCTCTGCCCATACGCGCGGCCTGGAAAGTCCTGCTCGATTTCGTTTCCCAGCCATAGCTCGGACCAGCATCCCCGGTTTATCGAGAGCCGCTCGTCCCGTGAGATTCCAAGCGCGATTGGTATATCTGGCGCGACCCGGCCCCGATGGTGGCCCGCCCAATAATTGGATCAGCGACTTTGGTGGCCCGGCACGGACCTATGACGCGCCCAGCGGCCAATATTATTACCATGCCTTCCTGGAAGGAACAGCCCGATCTCCAATGGCGCGGCGAGGTGCGTGCCGCCATGCTCGACGATGCTGCGCTTGGTTCGCGCGTGGCGTGGATGGGTTTCGATCGACGTCCTGTGGCACATCGTCAAGCACGCCGAATTTCCCGACAATCCGATCAACCCTGATTGGGACCCCACCACCGGGGTTGATGAATCAGGTGTTTGCAGCATCACTCGACCGATCAGCCCGAATTGCATGACATCACCGCCGATATGCGCGATGCCATCGCGGGATGCCTTTTGGTCGTGAAGGGGATGAGCGGGTTTCTGATCGGCGAGATCTACCCACTGCCGGTCGAACGGCTGATGCGCTATTATGGCCTTTGAGGGCGAAGGTGCACTGCCCTTCAACTTCCAGTTGATCGACGCCCCATGGCAGGCGCGCGCAGCCTCGGCGCGGATGATTGCCGTAATATGAAGCCGACCCATGATGACCGCCCAAGAGGCCGGCGCCGGTGTCGCGGCGCGATGTTACTGACGCTCCGCGGGCACGCCGACGCTTTATTATGGCGACGAACTGGATTGGAAAATGGGTCATTCCTCTCGACCGGGTCCGTGATCCACGCGAATTGCGGGAGCCGGGTTTGGGCTTGACGATCCCCGTCCGCACGCCGATGCCATGGGACGATAGCCCATATGGCGGCTTTTACCCAAGGTGAAGCCCGCCGCCTTTGGGGGCCGGTTGGGGAACATCAAAACGTTGCCGCCGAGCGACGATCCTGCTCGATACTTTCGCTTCATCGCCAATTGCTGGCGCTGGAGGCGTGACTTCGCCTCGGCCACTGGCTACATAAAGCTGCTTGAGGTGGAGGGTGACGTATTGGCTTATGAGCGTGAACGGGATGGCGAGCGCTTCGTTGTGGAACTGGATCTGTCCACGCTCCTGCCATACCGACCTGCCGGTGGCGCGACCCTCTCCTTTCCATTTCCTGCCGGGGCCATTGGCTGACACCGCTCCTTCCATCCTGCGTCCCGGATGAGGGGCTGATCCTGAAAGTCGACGCCGCCGCATGAAGATCGCGATGATTTGCCCCGATCGCGTGGCGGACCCCGCCCCGCACCTATGGCCCCGGAGTTGGTCACCAGCCTGCTGACCGAAGCGTTGGTGGCACGCGGCGTCGATGTCCCCTGTTCGCAACGCAGACAGCATCACCAATGCCACGCTGGCCGGTCTGGTGCCGGCCGTCGGCCCGGAAGACCCATCGGTCG